CATCGTTAATCACATGTCCAATTATTAATGACTAGTATTAAAAATTGAAATCTAATCTTAATATTGTTTCAGGGGTGGTGCTATATTATCTGGAGAAGAAGAAGAAGAAGCAAGCAAAGGTGGTAAAATGGTTGGTAGCTTGATAATATATGAAGCTGAATCTGAAGAATTTGTTAGAAATCTGGTTAAAGTTGACCCTTATGTTATTGGCAAAGTTTGGGAGAAATATGAAATATGGCCTTTTAAAATGTAAGTCATTTAATTTAATTTAAATCAGATTTATTTATTTGAACAATTAAATCGAAATTTAATGGTTGATTGAATATTAATTAAATGAATAATTAAAAATTTATAATGGTTGATTAATTCATCCACTTATTTTAGGGCATTGAAAAGTTAAAAGATTTTTAATTAAAAATATAGTAAATATTATTATTTATCTTTTCCAAATTTTAAAAATATTCAATGTAGTTCTTAATCTGCATTACAGTCATCAATGGTATCATCCATGTTATTATTATCAGTATTTATCACTGTCATTATTATCAACATCATTTTTTACAACGTTATTATTCTCATCGTTATCAAATTATTATTATTAATTTTGTCAAATAAGTTTCTCATGGCAACTTTATAAACAGAAATTATCTTTAGTTTTCAATTCTGAAAAGAGTAATTTATCAAGATCGTTGATTCTCTGATCTCCATCATTTAAACGTTCACACATTTCACAAAGTCGTGCCGACGTCATCGATGCATTCTTCTTAACTAACATGTTACTATCTGGCAATCTTTTATACGAATTATAGGTGTTTGTCAATGTTATGATTACGTTACATCATATTGTTGGATCGTTGGTTGTTTCCAATATTGTGGTTAGTGGTTGTAGATTGTCCTCGCAGAATTTGAAGAACTTGATCGATGTCAAAATTGATACTATTTGTAATATCGAACATGTAAAAATATTAAAGAATTATAGTATAATAGAAACTAACGCTATAACTTTCATTAGCTGAACATATGTGTACTACTAAAGGTCCAAAAATTGAAAGACCATAAAGGAATTTTCATATATAGATCTTCACTAGTTTCTATATAAATAACATTTTTATTTGGAAAACAAGATTTTAACAGGCGAGTTCGTGTAATTATCACACAATGTTGGAAGGCACATAATCAGATACAATCATTTTAGTCAATTCTGGTAAAACAAAAGGTAAATAAATATATAATTTAATCTAATGTTTACTTTGAAATTTATTTACTAATAAATATATTCTTTTTAGTCACTGACATGGGCCGTGCTAATGTTTCCATCCATTAGAAAAGGATGATTACTTGGTTGAGTGGACTGATGGAATTCTATGTATAGCAAAAGGTTCTGCAATGTATCAATTGACAGGGTTTTGTATTGATGATCTTGATTCATCACCTTATATCTCAATTTCGTCATTCATTAATATATATATGAGAGGTAACTTGTATGCGCATTTAAACCAAAAGAAGTAGTATATTATTTTGGTATTGGCATTCATCATCCCTTTATATTCACTCAAATTCTCTTTTCGCACTTGATCAAGATTCATTAGACATTTGTTCGTTTTTTAATGCAGATAAAACAAATTCACATTTAGTTTCTATTTTTAATATAAATCAGGATAATATAAATGATTAATTGGATAAATAAATAATAAATAAATGTAAACTTGTAACAAATTTACATTAGAAAGGGTATTTATCATTCAAAAGTAAATCGACTGATCTGCAATTGCAATATTTGCGAATAATTTCTAAATTTGGTTAGAGCGCATACAAATTAATGTCAGGTTCAAATTTTTTTGAACTGGTTATTATTTAACTAACAGTTCAAAAGTTAAATAACACAAATGGTTATTTGGTCAAAAACTACAAGAAAGATAACAATAAATGTGATTTTCTCCATTGAACAAAGTAAATAATCAATACATATATATAATTTATATTTTATATTCATGTAAAATGAAGAAGACACATGATCTTGGAATTTATATACATAAAAAGAAGAAAGAGAAAGAAAAAAACAAATTAAAAAAAGAAATGTTTCATGAATAAAAGGAAATAATAATACGAATATCTACAATTATTATTATTATTAGTGATATTGAAAAAGAAATAATAATGATAAGTTTGTTTTTTTTTTTTTTTTTTTTTTTTTTTTTTTTTACTCATATATATATATATATATATTGATTATTGTTATCATCATCTCACTAATTATCAATTTGATTATGGGACGAACAAATAGTGAAAAAAGGTGCAAATGAGAGAGAATGAACAAGACAGTTAATGAATGACTTACAATCCAATCTGATATAGTTTGTCAAGTGTTTCTTTCTGTTGATATATATTATTCATTCTATCAAAGTAAAAAAGAGGTAAAGAAGGTTAATAGACATATAAATATAAATGTCAACTCTCAAAATTGTCATCATAATTATCTATAACAATAATAATATAATATACAATAGAAGAACCTTTTCTCTCTTTCAAGTTCAGTGGCCAAATAATTAATATAATGATTGAGTCGATTAATTTCATCTAAAAGATAACATTCTTTTGTTTTCGTATTTTTTATATGGGAGACAGCTTTTTTGTAGGATTGAATAATTATTAATTATATGGTCACGTGTAAATAAACTAGAAAAAATTATTAAGGTGATCATTTACTTTTTTGAAGCAACAATGCCTTACTCATCTTACGACTATGGTTAAAAATTGGTAAAAGACGTCGAAGGTCTTCAAATCCATCTTTGATTTCTGCACGTCTTTTCTGTTCAGATTGAATATGCATTTGACGACGTATTTCAGCATGTGTTGATCGACTAAAAGCAACACAATTGTTAATTTCCAAAAACGTGACAAAGTTACTCTCTCATATGTTAAATTTCTTTATTAAATAATAAAAATTTTTAGTGCTCACTTATTGATATTAATATTGTTACTGATATCATCATCGTCATATCCATCCAACGAAGAAGCAGTATCACAATCTTCGACACGTATTTGTGTTTGTTTTCTTCGTCTCCTATTACAATTATTAACACCAGTTTTAGAACTTTCATATTTTTCTCTATCGTATTGTTTAAATTCTGTAATATCTAGATGTTCGCCCTGTGGTAGTTGTGATGGCGCAATTATGTCACGAAAATCATAACAAGCGAGTAGTGGCGAGGAAGAAAAGATTGGCGGTTGAGGAGCAGGTGATTGTGGGAATGGATGTGATAGAAGGGGTTGTTGGTGCTGTTGTAAAGAAGGTTCAGAAGAACTAGATATAGTTGATTCTAATCATGTAATATTATAAAAATTAAGTAAAGATAAAAATAATAGTCTTGGATTAATAGAATAAATCATCATTATATTATGAATATTAATCGTATGCATTTTATGCATATATAATTATTTTGTTACGAAAATTTTTTTTCAGTCACGTTTAAAAAGTCTGTCTTCTCACTTTAGACACGCATATTTCCCATCTTTCTCGTGTTTTAAAAAACAAAATCTTTTCCATTTCCATAAAATTCAAAAGAAAGATAAGAAGGAAGGAGAAAGAGAAAGGCTTACTTACCTGTATTACCTGTAGCAAGGAGAGGAGGGAGAGGAGGACTCTGGGAAGCTTCAGTTGACACGATATAATTTTCGTTGAATTGTTGAAGCATATTTAATAGTTGTCTCTTCAATATATATATATTAATTATAAAAAATTAGTTAAATTGTTCTTTTTTTTTAATATTATTATTATTAGTGTGTAGATCCTTCATTCTTAAAATTTTAAAAAAAGTAGTAGATCTTTCTTCATCAAGAAGAAATAAATAGTGAATTTTATATTGTGCTTAAATCCAAAATTAGTAAAAGTTAATGAGATTTTTTGCAAAATGAGGAAATGATTTGTGTGTAGATAAAAAGAGTGATGAGAAAGAAAAATAATTACTGCACATATTTGCACGAGTATAATTGAAACAAACAATTTAATTAATTACATAAGCCACCGCTTGCTTATATTGATTAATAGTGTGAGAGACCCACTTTTTTCAAAAATTTATTTGCCCTGAAGGCTTCTGAAACCTTGATTAAAAAAGTTTTTAAAAGAATTTGGTTAATTCCCGAAAAAACAATTTTACAATGTCAATTATGATAAATTGTAAGAATGCGGAAAGGTTTAACCAACGTGTACAAAGAAATCCACTTTGACTAATTACGAGATATAATAATAACAAATGAGTGACATTCTCGACAGGAGGGCAGACGATTCACATTATCTTTTCGAAACTGTTACGTATCAAACATCAACATCAGTAGTAGCATTCATTTATCAAAAAGTATATAATAGATCCAATTCATCTAACATTCTTATTTTTATTATATCTTTATCTCCACCCCCTCCCCCATCCATCCATCAAATCATTATATACATTACAAATCGACTGTTGTTGTTAATAAATCATCCATCATACTGACTGACTCACATCTAACCTTTATTCAAATATTCCTTTGGCCAACAATTCTCACGACAGTTTTCCTGGGACATCTTAAAGATGATTATAGCTTAAACTGTTATCTTGGATATCTTGGATATATGATTTTTTTGGTGTTGTTGACTGACGATAATAAAATAAGATTATGGTATTGAATATTATAAATCCTGGAGGGTTTTGACATGTAAACATAATTAATGTATTTATATATATATGTAAGTATAATAATATTATTAATATGATTTACATCTTGTGAGTACGTGGCATTTGTTCATTTAATGATTGAGATTGCTCATAGATTACCTGAATGGGGCATAACGAGATCAAACAGGATCTTTATTTGAAGTTGGATGAGTGTTGGCAAAAAGCTGTCAGAGAAGCTGCTAATAAAATGGTGACGAATAAATACACGGACAAACTGTTGGGTTAGAAGATAATCATTTGATGTTTTTATTGGGAGGGTGATCTTACTATATGTATCCACTTATCCATCATATTATAACAGTCAGTCTTGAACAACAGAATAATGATTCGATATAATTTTTCAACAATCATTGAATGGTCTTTGTGTGCAGTACATTTTCGTCACGACATCATTCCTCCAAGATTATAAATATTATAATTTACAATAGATACATATAATTTATAATCTATCAATTCGATGCGTGCATGGATCACATGATATTTAATTTTTTTGTTTGTTTATACGCGTTCCTATTACATTCATTGTAAGAGTGGTGGGGTGGTCAAACCTTTTAATTAAAGAACCCTTTATTATAAGTAACTAGTTAATTAGTAATAATACGCGTGATTAAATAAAAATATCAATTAAGAAACTAGCTAAAAAAATATTAATTAAACATTAATAGAAATTCGATTCCAGAACCAT